CTTGACGGTTCCTGTCGCAAAGCAAATTCTCTGTAGGCTTTATGATATCACAACAAGAAACAAGCGACTTCAGTGCTCCACCCATCTGGCGTAGTCCGAGATTGCCGGATGGTTATCATACAAAGTACATCCCAGTCCATAAACTCCAGAGGATTCTCACTAGATCAAGAGAGATGTGTGCATTTCAGTTCCCGACCTGCGCTTCGCACCGGATGTCTCCATCGCGATGCCGCGTCGAGTCTGCACCTAACTTCGCTCGCATGCCTCGCCTCCAAGCAGTTCAGGCCCTTAGTAGGGCGCATAGCCGCGACCCCGGCCACGGTAGCCACCGCGATACCCTCCACGGGGCGCAAATCCACCACGGTACCCCCGGCCACCACCGCGGAATCCACCTCGTCCACGACCGCGGCTCATGCCCGGCAGGTTGGTACGCTTGGGAACGACCTGTAAAGCATCGAGCATTAGTATCATTCAGTCGATCAATGGCCTCTATCATGCGATCTACCTTCAGGTTCCGGCCGCGGAAGACACTCTCGTTCAAGACAAGGGCCTGAGCCACTAAACTGGGTTCCGCAAATTCTACATAGGCGTATCTGTAAATCATATCAGCATATGATGCCCCCCAGCCTGTCAAATGAATGCGCTGCAACATACCCCTTGGGCTGGCCGGTGAACTTGTCCAGCAGGATAGTGACACGGTTTATTGAGCCGCAACTTTGAAAGTGTGCCTGAATCTCCTCGGGAGAGGCACCGTAGTCCACGTTGCCGACGAAGACACTCCGAGCGTCGATCTCCTCTTTGTCCTCACGCAGGTTCTCCGATTGCTGATCAAGCGTGGCTTGCATCTCGCGTAGCTTCGCTGCCTCGGATTCCATTTCGGCTACCCGTTTCTTCATCGCCGCAATCTCCTCCTATAAGTCATGAAAAAAGAAGGTCACGTTAGCTAGATTCAGTGAAAGACAAATCGCCAAGTCAAATAGAAGCAAGCCAAGAAACAAGCAAAAGAAAGCATCAAGCTTTGGGTTTTCAGCGCAAGCAGTCAAAACGTACCTCATCATCACCGGCCTCCTCCTGGTGTTGCAGGCGCTCATCCTTGATCTCGTTCTCTTCCGTAGCCATTATGATTATAGGTGTAGAGAAAGTCGCGTCTTTTTTTTTTTTTACCACGTCGCTGGGTCGCAATGAAAGCTCAAGCGGCAATGATAGCTTCCGCGGAACTGGTCTAGTGGGCGGGGGGAGGGAAAGCTGCAGGAAAAATAAAAGGTCCGAGAAGGACAGAAAGGACTGGCACCTAGAACTAAACTAGGACCTGTTCAAGTAGAGAAAGTAAGATAGGTGATAGGTGACTGGAGGGTGCAGAAACCAAATGTGATGCTTGCGTTGATCGACGCCGAAGTCACTGCTTGCTCTTTCCGGCCTAGCAGGTTTGTCATTGGACCAACTCCCGTCGGTACCGCTCTACATCATCCTGAGCCCCTAGGATTCGGCAAGTTCCTGTCGCATTTACAGATGTTGGCATTCAGACCATCCTCGCGTACTTATTTCTCAGGATTTGCAGACTTTTAACTATCTGATTCTTCATTTAATAGTACGGGGACATCAGCGTTATCCCAAAATAGCCACTGTGTAGTAAAGAGGTCTGTCAATCTCCATAGCAATTACCGCGACCTCAGTATCAATGCCGATGGAACCTATCATTTCCTTGGGTAGGATATCTTCTTGCACAGTTAGACCATGACATATGTTAGTTACTGCCATACATGACATGGTATGTTCAGGGCAGATAAAAGATTGCAACCGTACATCACTATCAACTAATTCAACATGAACAACAGCCGCATAGGTTAGAAGAACATCATTATCGTGCCTGGTTCTATGTATGTACAATAAGAAATTATAAAGCGTCAACTCATGAAGAAGGGATATTGTTCTTGCGGTAAGATACTTTCTCGACCGCGACCGTCTCAACCCCGTCGGCGTCCGTCTTCAGTTGGTAAACATACAACACGAGGACATCGCCTTGGATCTATAATCCTGTGTTAGCATAGAGCACGTACCGAGTCTTGCAGCGAACCCCGTGGAGTTGCGCGACTTACATCCATCAAACAGAAACTAGGTGTCGGCTCTTCCCCTTCCGGCCAGTACCCCGTGCTCATGGCACCGGTGGCACTTCCCGGGTTGATAAAGAACCTTCCCTCCAGTTCAAAAGCTTCAAAGCGGTGGGTTCCACCCCATAGCAGTATGTCAACATCCATCTGGCGGGCAGCGATCAGAAGGGCATCGGCGTCCCCCGGCGGGATGATGGTGTGGCCATGAGTAAATCCGATGCGGAGACTCCCGTGAGTCACCACTTTAGAGAGGGGTAGGTTGGGGGAATCGACATCGAAGTCGCCTTTGACCAATTGCAAGTCTGGAGCGACCTGTCGGAGGAATTCGAAAGTGCTCCGATCGGTGAGATTGCCGAGACAGAGGATCTGGCCGATCTTGCCTGGCGTCAGGAGTTTCCGGAACTGTGCGCGGGTCAATCGAGAACGGGGGATTGAAAGACAGAGAGGAGGATCAAGAGGGATGGAGCAATAGTGCGCACCTTGGCTGGGAGGTCCTAGCGAGTACAAGTCAGCAGACAGGTCAACCTGCGAGGATGCGATAAGGGATGAGGGGATGCGTACGGGGGCTCTGTCGGGGATGAAGAGGTCACCAATGACCAGAACCAGGCGGGAAGTCATCCTAGAAGAAGCAAGCAAGCAAGTACTCAAGGCCCATTCCAAGTGGGCGTGATCTTGGGAGTGTGATTGGCGAGAAGTATAGTAGTAGGCGGGCAGCAGACAGCGACGGTGATGGAAACGGAAATGGGAAATTAAGCTACGTATGACTATCAGTTGCTCCTCCGGCGCGATGGAGCTCCGCGGGGAAAGCTTATGGACGCCCGCCGATGGATGCCTGCCACCCTCAACTGCCCTAAGCCCTATCCTACAGTCCCTTTGGGATTAGCCTCTGCAGGTCACTTGGTTTGACAACTATTCATGGTTCGTTCTATTATAGGAGCCTCCATGCGACGATTCTAGTACTCATGACTATATAGTTTAGAGGTGTCGCGGTGCCAGGTTATATCGTGTACGCTGGTAGAGAAATTGCTGAGTACCCGGCTAGGAACAGCCGCTTATTCTTGCCCCCAGTTCAACGCCATACGGTCACTGCTGATCTGATACTCCCTCAACATCTTTAGAACCTCCTCGGCCTTCGTAGCCTCCGCGATAATACGAGCATTCTCAGGGCTCACCAGGCCCTCTTTGACAGCGGTCTGGATCCACTGTAGAATTCCGTTCCAGTAGCCGTTGATGTTCAATAGGACAATGCCCGCCTTGTGGATCCCAAGCTGGTTCCAGGTAGTCATTTCCATGAGTTCCTCCATGGTGCCAAATCCGCCAGCAAGGGCAACGAATCCTGACCCAGGACCACCTTCAAGGACCTTCTGGGCCATCAATCTTTTGCGGGTATGCATGTCGGGGACGATCGTCACCATGCCGAAGTTGGATTCTTGTACGGACTGGTCCACAATACGCTCAGCAGCCTTGCCTTCCTTGCTTTGCGCGTCCGATGCCGAGGCCTTGTAGCCTTCTTCGACCTCAACCAAGGCTTGCGGGATAATTCCCTGGACCGACTTCGGTCCTGATAATGCCACCAGGGTTTTTGCGAGCTCTCCCATGATACCAACGGTACCACCACCGTAAACCAGTTGCACATTGTGCTTGTGGAAATCTTGCGCAAGCGCACGAGCTGCTTCCAGATGGCTGGTAGAGTTGCCCGGATAGGAGCCACAGCTGGTTGCGAATTAGTACTATCATTTTGAGAAAGTACTGATGTATCCGGGGGGAGGATAGCCTACAAAACGCAGACCACTGCGGGTTTGGCCTCTTGGGTTGCCATTGTGATGTTCCGATGGAGGGGTAAAAGAGTGGGGTAGAAGATTTGGGGGATTCCAAACAGTAAACCGAGAAGTATTCCCGCTTAATTGTTCCAAGCCAGGGACGTTGAAGAGGACAGCTATTTATTTCTTTCGATGATCCAAAAAAGAACAAGGACAAGCTGCATGGAATGGATGGCACGTCGTCGCCCAGCTGGAGGCTCAGACCCACTTAAGAGAGAACCAAGGCTCCCCGAACCTCAGCATCGAATCGAAGACCAACAGCACCCCTCCACGACAGCATGTGGGCGCCGTAAGCAACCAGGATATTGTCTATCCAGCAGATCCGGACAGCTATGTTTGCACCTTCCTACAGACATCTGCGAGGCCAAAAATCAAGAAAATCTCATCTTTGCTGCTATGGGCCGAAGAATCATTTGTTGTGAAGTCCTCAGGCCTGGACTGCTCCGGGTGTTCACTAATTCCTGATGAGAGGACAAAACCTGGCGAACCATGCTGACTGATGGTACATCTGAGTATCTAGTTAGTCACCAGGATGAATCTTGAGAAAACTGGCCGAGATCGCCCACATGGGCATTGCAGTGAAGAAGGACAGCGCAAGTATGGGTCACTGCGCCGGTTGTGGCTGTCGCTGAGATGCTCTGATTGATCTCATTTGTAGAGAGACAACATCTAACTTCCAACTTGCCGAGAAGTATGCAAAGTAAATCAACAATGGCACATCGCGCAGATGAACCACGACAATCGACTATTCTAGTTAACTAGTTAGTGAACTAATTGACTGACTTACTCACTTAGTCATGTCATTTGTATGAGTCAAGACAGCCATGGCTGATCGCGGAGAAAAATCGTGGGACGGAAGGGTCCGCCCGGTTGGAGAACAATGGCGTCTTCCGGCCGATAGAATGCAAGGGAAAAAGGGGAATGGAAATGGAAAGGGGGATGGAAAATTTTTTGAACGTGAGGAAATACATCGATTTTCCCCCAAAACCCGAGTTCTTTTTAAAAACCGATTCCCATAAAACCTCTCCAATCTCACCATCGCATAAAATCACCCGGAATCAACCATTGCACTAAGGAAGAAAGAAGGCCATAGGGAGTGCCTGGAATTAACTGACACACACTAAGTACTTACACAGCATTACTGCATCCAAGCCCGGCGATCCCCGAGGGAAACCCACGGTTGTTCCACCCTCCATCACAGGCAAAAGAGAGTTATCGTTATCCTTTTCCCTTTACCCCGCAGGCTCTCTCCCGTCGAGAGCCGATTCACTCTGCAACCCTGGCGGCCAAACGCACTCCCCAGCAGCGATTGAGCCTGATTTCCAGGCACCTGGATCAGCGACTCCCGCTGCCGGAGCTTAACACCCCCTTCTCGACCGAGAGGAACTCGCTGGCTCCCGACGATATTGAATATAAACCCCTCGATCGCACGGCTTCCACTCCTACTACCTCCCCTTCTACTCCTTCGACTCCTTCCTCTCCCACTGACTCCCCATCCCCCGCCGCCAAAATGTCCTCCCAAGCCCCTCATCCCACCCTGTTGATTCCAGGGCCCATTGAATTCGACGATGCTGTCCTCCAGTCTATGGCTCACTACGCGTAAGTAAATACCCCTCGTCCTCGTCCCCGTCCTCGTCCTTTTTCCTCCGATCAGCCCCTCATTGACCAATTTCTTGGCTTCCAGTGAGAGCCATGTCGCCCCCGGTTTCGTCAAGACCTTCGGAGAGACCCTGTCCATGGTCCGGAAACTCTTCCAGTCCTCCAACCCTGCTGCTCAGCCCTTCGTTATCTCCGGTAGCGGTACTCTCGGCTGGGATATCGTGGCCTCCAACCTGATTGAGAAGGGTGAGAATGCGCTGGTCCTGCACACCGGTTACTTTGCCGACTCCTTCGCTACCTGCCTGGAAACCTACGGCGCCAATGCCACCCAGCTCAAGGCTCCCATCGGTGAACGCCCCTCTTTCGAGGAAATCGAGCAGGCCCTCAAGGAGAAGCCCTACAAGATCATTACCATCACCCACGTCGACACCTCGACCGGTGTCCTCAGCGACATCAAGCGCGTGGCCGAGGTCGTCCGTCGCGTCAGCCCCCAGACCCTGGTCGTCGTCGACGGTGTCTGCAGTGTCGGCTGTGAAGAGATTGCCTTCGACGAATGGGACATTGATGTCGTCCTCACGGCCAGCCAGAAGGCCATCGGCTGCCCGCCCGGCCTCAGCATCCTGATGCTGTCCGGCCGCGCCATCAACACCTTCAAGACCCGCCAGACGCCCCCGTCCTCCTACTACGCCTCCATCGCCAACTGGCTCCCTATCATGCAGAACTACGAGAACTTCAAGCCCTCTTACTTTGCCACCCCTCCCACCCAGCTCGTCCACGCTCTGCACACCACTCTTTCCCAGATCACTGCCCGTCCCATGTCGGAGCGCTACGCCATCCACGCCCAGGCCTCCGACCGCGTAAAGGCTGCTGTCGCCGATCTCGGTCTGCAGCAGGTCGCTTCCAAGCCCGAGAACCAGGCCCACGCCATGACGGCCATCTGGCTGCCGGAGGGTCTGGCTCCCCCGGACGTCCTGCCGGGACTGCTGAAGCGCGGCGTCATCTTTGCAGCGGGTCTGCACAAGCAGGTTGCCACCAAGTACATCCGCTTCGGACACATGGGCGTCAGCGTCACGGATCCCAACCGTTCGGACGTCGACAAGGCCATTGCTGCCTTGAAGGAAGCCTTGACGGAGGCGAAGCAGGCCAAGGGACTGTAAACGGGCTACGAAAATCAATTAGTACCATAACGATCTCATAGACGAACAATTGCAAATAACAAAAAAAATAGCGAAATGAAATAAAAATTGGATAAAAATATTTCACATGAAATCTAGATACAACAGTAAACTGGGGCAGTATTCTTGGTATCAACCCGGTTACCCCGATGTCGGACACGCAGCGATAACGATAAAATGAAATGGAATGGAAACAGCGATATGCCATAACTAGTCAATAACCTATCGGCTTACCCATCTTCGATTCCGTCTCCACTTGGCCTGCAGAATAACTAGCCTTAAGTCTCTCGTAATTAATTCTGCTCACAACTATAGCACACATAGCTATGAATAGTAATTAGAGCACTCAGTTAAGCTACCGTCATATAGTAGTAGTCCAGCAGACGTCTACGTAGTATAGATTACGTGATATCCTGACAGTCATGCCATCATCACCGTGGTTAGTTCATCGTTACTCCATATCCAATGGTGAAAAGTCCCCACTACAGCATATACTTAGTATATTTACCCATATCTAGCATAATGGAAGGCTGCTATAATAACCGTTGGTAGATTACTAAGAACTCGATATCGTAAGTTTCTGAGTCGCACTATATCTACTAGCAGCCTTTTAGTACGACTCGGGAGATCTTACCCGATGTCTCAATTCGAACCAACAGGCTGATGGAATGATCTATCCCAGGCTAACTGACATGACAGACGTACAATGAAGCAGTAGAGACCTACCCACAAACCAATTCCAGTTGATTCATTCATCCAGAAAAAAAGTGGAACAGAGTGGTAAAATAGTAGCAACGCTGTCTTTGCAAAACCCGGACAGGGAGGTAGTATAATATATTTTGGGTGGGGGGTTAAAGGATGATGAGTCCTGACTCGTGAGACAAGCAGACAAGGTGGAACAGAATGACAACAGGAATAGGAAGAGGAAATGCAAATATAAGGATAAAGAATATAGAAGAATGATGATAATAAAAAAAAAGAAAAATAAGGAATTACAAGAATCTGTAGGGTGACAAAGTATAAGGCAAAAGGATAAACAGGAGAGGGGGTATGGTATGGTAATGGAATGGAGGAACAAACAATATGCTTCAATGAACACTCGTCATGCTTTCCCTTCAGCCTCTTCTTTACATGAGCTGAGCTGAGCTATGAATGCATTATAAGGCTTCCGTTAACATCAAACTGTGCTTTCTCTTTCTTTCTTTCTTTTTTTTTCTTCCTTTTTCTGATTTTCGTTTCTATGGTCTGGTAAAACCTCCCCTCGTCCCCCTCCGCCAGATCAAGCTTCCGCTTCCCCTCTACGCAAGGCCAAAAAAGCCCGCACATCGGTCACATACTGCAAAGCTTCTAACATGGGGACGAGGTGAAGAAGACCATTATCCGTGGGATCATTAATCCAGCCCTCAATTGGGATAGCATTATCTATCATTGGTGTTAGAGCAGGCTGGAGTATGGTAGCAGAATCACGTCAAACTCGAGACATACCTTCGTGAAAAATATAACTCATAGGACTGTTGTCCAGGATCATCACCTTACTCAAATCAGGCTCCACAGAGCTGAGGTCCTTGATATATGCACCATTCCGGAAAGTACAGTGTTGACGGTAGTACCGCGCCTGGAAGTATTTCCGCTCCTGCTCGAGCCAGTCAATGACTGGATCCGCATACTCTTGCACACTGGCAGTGAAGATGACCAGCTTGTACCACTTGGAAATCTTGCGCAAGAACTCATCACAGTGGGGTCGCTTGTGTACGTAATACAGGATGGGATGCTGCGGACCCAGAGTCGTGGGTGGTCCGCCGGGTGTGAGTGCAGTCGTCATCGGCGTGGACAGTTTGACCTCAACCATGTGGCCACTGGACATGCGGCCGCCCTTGGCCAGGGAATGGATGAGCGTCTCATCCAGATCAAGGACCAGAGTCTTTTGCGGGCTCTTAGGAAGGCGGAGGTTGGCCGTGTAAGACGGCACACGGGGTGGAATCAGCGGGCGAGGAGGGACGGGAGAATGCGGATACCTGGTGACCCTATGTACCGACGGAGATGTGGGAGATTTGAGACTGTCCAGATTGAGAGTACCCTGAACGCCATTTTCCGGTGTCTGGCGTAGATCAGCACTTTGCGACCGGCGTTGCCTCTGTCGCTTGAGCGCCTCTTCGCTATGAAGCTTGATCCGGGTCGAGCGTCTAGGGGCGGTCTCGTCTGGCGTTGGTTCCGGGCTGGATGACTTTGCCTTGGAGGTTCGTGACCGACTATTGCCGAGTGCCTTGGCGCTCCGACGATCTCCTTCCGACTCGGACGTGCTCGAAGCGATGGAATCCCGGGATACGTTGCTTTTGGATCTTCGCGAAGTACCTGTTCGTCGTTTGCTTTCCGCTTGTCGACTACCTCTACCCGCCGTCGTGGAGCCAGTCGACTTGGATGGGCGGCTAGACACGGACCGTCGTAGCTTCCTCACGGGTGCCAGAAAAGAGTAATGACCGTTATCGTCCTCAAAACATTGGGCAACATAAAAACCGGGCGCAGCTAAAGTGGATAGGATGAACTTGATCGTTTCCGCAATCGCATCAAAGAACCGTTGGGCAACGAATCCTAAGGTGCTTTTCGTAGCAAATGAACCATCTTTCTGTATACTTCGTAATAGGGGCGATTTCTCATCAAACGTAATTTCGTGGGAGTAATTTATATTCTCGTCGGGCGCATCATGGCTATTCTCGTGAGCCTCGGTCGTGTGAAAGTTGCTTTCGCTGTACGACCGAAGTTTGGCAAGGTCGCCGGGCTCATTCGCTCTGGCGACGTCTCCCTGGGACCGGGAACGCTGACGGCTCCGAGCTGGGAGGGACGACTGGCCAATGACTCGAGACGAGAGGATGTTGAGCGAGTTCATCTTCCCACACGGCCCACGGGTGTCCGGGCTGGCGCAGGTGACTAGAGGGAGAAGGAGCGTAGGTCAGCAATCATTTGAATACTGCAAGCTAAGTAGTCGAGGCCTGTGATGGGACCGGGGATGCTGGAGCATGATGCGATGATATGGAGAGCCGAAACTGTTGGGGTCTACGGACCTCAATGCGCCAGTCGACAACCCGTGCTTTTTCGGATTCACCGTTACCCGACCTGGTGGATGGCGGAATGACGACAGGTAGATCCGAGAAAAGGACGGGCGGAAAGGAGAGCCCGAACGTGCGGAATTCAAGGCGACAACGAGAGGAAGGGATCACGGAGGAAGAGGAGGAATGAGGAGGGGGGGGAAGGGTTGGGGGAAGGAGGAAGTTGAGACGGATAGCAGCCGATCAGCCGGCGGATGAAGTTGAGGAACGATGGGACGAAGTAAGAAAGTGTGGGGAGAGCAAGAGGAGAGTCAGTGAGAGAGAAGCGGCCTGGCCGTATGTTACGCTGAGACCGTATGTATGTATGGGATGTACTCCGTATGTATGTATGTATGTATGGTTGGGCCGAGCGCATGAGACCGAAAGAAAGCGGGCAAATTCTCCCGCCGTCACCACATCCCACCTTCTCCTCCTCCTCTTCCTCCCTTTGACTTCTGCACTTAACATCCTCACTTCTTCACCCCCCAAAAGTCTTCCCACGTGGAGTTTGTTATTCTCCGGTTTGACCTGGTCATACAATCCTCAACCGGTGCAATTTTGAGCAAACTTTCAGCGACCTCCAAAGGTATGCTTCCGTTCGCGACAATATGACTCCTCCACCTTCTAACACTGTGCGTGCCTGACTAGAAAGCAATTGGAGCTTGTCAAGACCTTCAAGCCTGCCTGTCAACTCAATACGAGACCTTTACGTGGTTAATAGCAACCATGCCGTCCACTTCCGCGGCCCTAACGCCTGGATTGGCGTCGTTCCTCAAGTCCTTGAAGACGAATCCGATTGATACATCGATTGACGATCTGATCTCGTGCGTCCTCGACGTCATATCACCGCGTGTCGCAGCAGCTCGTGCAACATACTGACCAGACTCTAGGCTTCTGAAACGCAGACAGATTCGCCATTCCAGATCATGCGCGACCGCAACCGCCTACCTCCTGCGCAGTGTTATCTCGGCTACTCGGACTTCGGATGCAAACAAGATGATCGAGCGGGTCCAGCATGTGGGAAGGCGCGTGATGGCCGCTCAGCCCAGGGAAATGGTGGTCGGAAATATTGTCAGACGTGTGCTTGGATTGATCCGTGATGAAGCGGAAGACGACAGAGAGGCCGACTTCACTCTGAGTGAAGCGGGCTCGGAGAGCCAGCCTCAGACCCCTCGTGCCTTGGATGGTCAGTCTTGTCTTATAACACACGAACCAGGATTATGCAAAAGCTAACCCACAGCGCCGTTTGTAGACCCCTCCGAGGTTCTCTCTTCTCGCCATGAAGGTTCCGACCGGTCATCCTCGAGACAGCCTTTCACTTCGCTGTCAGCTACACCCATTTCCATGTTCAGTCTCCTCTCACACCCAGAGCCTGAGTCGTCTCTGCCTGGCACCCCGGCCTCTGCGTCTCCGTCTGGCCGCCTACTGGGCCAAAGTCACAACAAAGACATCCGTGCCGAAGTTCTGGACGGTATCAACGAAATCATCGATGAGTTGGGCCAGGTAGACGACCAGATTGCGGCCTACGCCCTGGAACACATTCACTCCAACGAAATCATCCTGACACACACATCCTCAACTACCGTCCAGAAATTCTTGCTCAAGGCTGCGGCCAAGCGCAAGTTCACCGTGATCCATGCCGAATCTTATCCCAACAACCATGAAGCGACCCATGCCACTGTCAGCGGACAGGCCCCCAAGGACGACGACATTCTGAGCACCGAGGCTTTCCAGAAACCTTTGATCGCCCTGGGCATCACTGTTATCCTGATCCCTGATTCCGCAGTCTTCGCGCTCATGTCCCGTGTCAACAAGGTCATCTTGGGCACGCACTCGGTTCTTGCCAACGGCGGATTGGTGGCTGCGGCAGGCACGCGGGTCATCGCTCGCGCGGCCAAGGTGCACCAGACCCCCGTGGTCGTTGTGAGCGGTGTCTACAAGCTCAGCCCTGTCTACCCATTCGATTTCGACTCGCTGATCGAGTATGGCGATGTCAGCAAGGTTATTGGATACGAAGACGGTGACCTGGTAGACCAGATTGACGTGCAGAACCCGCTGTACGACTATGTCCCTGCGGAACTTGTCGATCTTTACATCACCAACCTGTAAGCTACCATTCCTTTTGCCCCGTTTCATCTGCAGAACTGACAAGCACTATAGGGGAGGCCATGCGCCGTCTTACCTTTACCGTATTGTCTCGGACCACTACCGCAAGGAGGATATCAATGTCTAATGGTTTTGAGGATTATGGAAATGGAAATGAATCAACATATGAACAAAAGCTCAAGGGAATGCAGATGGCTGCAATATGACATGCAAAAAGTTCGGCTATAGATGAGTAAGGCGTAAGGGCATAGACAATGGAACGCAACGATACCCGCGGGGATACTAGGATAATCTTTATGAATGAGATCAGTCCTTATCGATTGATGCATCCAACCAACGTAGACAGTCCACGCGTTCTAGATCACCGAATCATAGCAAATTTAAAAAATTTAATAGATTTACGAAACAATTACGACAAGAGCTAAACTCATTTTTTTGAAGGATTTGAATTTTAGGGCCCTCCCAAAGAAATAAATCATGGCGCCATCTTTTATGGATATATCAATCGTAGTACGCTGCAAATGGTATTTATTTTGCAGGGTCTCATCCGTCCTGAACCATCAATTCCAGACCATAGACTTGTGTTTGCTTTGCCTTTGCCCCGAAGCTTCTTCCATGGAATGGGCCCCCTTCCACCCCGCTAATAGCATCTTTATTAAATTCCCCAGGGTTTGGGTTATTTAAGAGCGGGGCTTCTCCTTCTTCTCCTTCCAGAGAGCGAGCAGACCGACACCGGAAACCTTGACGACCTTGAAACGGACACCGGGAATATCACCCTTGGCCTTGCCCTTACGACCGAAACCGGCGAGGAGGACCTCGTCGTTCTCATCGATGAAGTTCAAGCAACCGTCGTTGGGGACTATACAGGAAATATGTTAGCCAATCGATACCCTCTTCAAAGATATTCGATATTTCCCGTTTGCCACTCCATCCTTTATTCCCTTCTCCTTCTTCTGCTCCATTCTCCGCACAATATCCCATCACAAAATCCCCAAACCATAAACATCTATCACAACCGGGAAATAGAAAAAGGAAAGGATAGGATCACCCACCGAAAGCGGTAACCTTCTTGCCGTTCTTGATGAGCTGGACCTTGACACACTTGCGAATAGCGGAGTTGGGCTGCTTGGCCTCAACACCGACCTTCTCAAGAACGATACCCTTGGCGTGGGAGGCACCTCCGAAGGGAGAGGACTTGTAGGCAGTACCGAGGAGGCGCTTCTTGTAGTGCAGATCGGCCCAGCGGTTCTCGCGACGGGTGGTCGCGAGCTTGCGGGCGGCGTTCAAACCACGGGGCTGTCCCTTACCCATCTTGTCGGATTATGTTCGAAGGAGGGTGAACTGTAGAGCAAGAATTTCCGTTAGAATTATGTATTTTCCAATATATGGGTGGTGTTCGGAAGAAGCTGAAGTTGCAGGGTTCTGGTGGCGGACATGATGCGGATTTCAAGATTCGGGGTTATATAGGCGGACTTTGTGCGTAGGGAAATTTCTCGTGTTTTTTTCTTTTCTTTTCGCAACCAGGGAAGATCGACTGGTGATATAAATTCACAATAGGGGGTCTCTATACGTACCGAACTGATGGATAAAATTGGCTGGATGGGCGGATGGTTGTCGAAAGTCGAAGGGGGGGTTCGCTTTCACGGCCGGCGGTCGCTCGACTAGATCGAAAATGTTCTGCTGTGCGGCTTCGCCCTAAACGGCCGCTAAGCGAGGCACGGGACTCGGGCTGGGTCGGAGTCGGAGAAACTTCGGCCCTCTCCTCTCTTTGTGTCTCTCCCCCGTGGTTCCTGATAACGATAAGGATGTTGTCACTACTTGCTATCTACTCACCACCACGTTTCTTCTTTTCTAACTATATTGTTAAGATCCAATTGCGGTCCTATTCGCATTATAATGTCTAATTTATAGCTCAAAGGATAGCAAAGGATTATACTGCCAGTCATGGATCCTACCCTCAGAATGGATCCCAAGATGGATCCTAAAATGGACACCAGGAAGATAAGTGCCCAGCGTCTTCCCCCGCCTGTCCTCTTCCAGGGCCCGCCGTCACATAATGCCTCCAATCTCTCTCTTCCCCCGCCAGTATCTGCTGTTCCGTCGACGGGAGTCTCTCCGCGGCCGCCTCTGCAACGCAATCGCTCGTCCCGGGCGGGAACCCTCGAGGCCCCGGGGTCCCTCTCGCCATTCCTGACTCGCAAGCAGTCCAAGGGGGAGGTGGATGGCTCCGAGGCCATATGGCAGGAGATGCAGAGCGCATTGTCCGAGGTCGAGCTGAGCGCGGCAACGGGCGAACATGTTTTTGGGGAGAAGCACTCCGAGGCGCTGGAAGATCTCCGGACAAAGCAGCTGAAGCTTGCGCAGGCGTGGGCACGCAGTGAAGCCGGAGACGAGGTTGTGGAGACAAAAGGTGCTGTTGCCGCTGCTGCTGCTGCCACGGCAAAGAGTAATGCGTCGCTGCGACCGGCGTCGCGAAGCACGGCTGGGCCGGGCGATTCTGCTAATCCTGAGGATGGATCTTCGCGGAATCTGGATGAGGAGACGGAAAAGGATATCCTCCTCGCACGGGAGAGACGGGAGGCTAATGATCGATACTTTGACCGGGTTAATAATGGTGTCTTGGATGTGGTGGCTAAGCTAGAGGAAGTCGCTCAGGCTATGCGCGCGGTGGAAAGAGAGAGCAAAGATATCTGGAGCGATACCGATAGCATGAGTACAACGACGCAGACCACGACTGATACTGGGTGAGTTAAGCTGTTGGCTCTGAATCGTTCGTTCCATGTTTCCATGCGGACTGCTTGATAGCCCTCTGTATAATAGAGTGAGGCGACTAGCCCACTGACAGTGGATGTGGATTGCTGCCAACGCGGCATACACTTGCCCAGGTACCAGCAATCGCAAGACAATCGCATTAAGTCTGCGACAATCCGCTATCACAGTCCACCACATAAGCAGCAACAACCTCTTAACAAGCCCTCCATAAACCTAGCAAACACCATCAACCAAGGAAAAACCAGAAACCGTAGCATTATACCGCTAGTCAAACAAATCAAAGCTAAAGAAAAATTTATAAGAATGAACAAAACCAAGAGGGTATCTGAAACTTCATCTCCATCAAGCCCACACCCACATCAGCACCTAACACAAACCATAAATAAAAGGCAGGATCAGGACAAGTATTCATCTACTCCTTCTTCACCAACCTCATCACCGTCTTCCACCCCTCCACAGCCGTATCCCGCGCATCCTCCCACCGACTCTCATACGCCTTCCTCGCCAACGTCTCGACCTCCTGGTTCCAGCGATGTTTCAAGAAGTCCTTCAAGGCGGGTTTCGTTGCCCGGTCTTCTTGCTCACCCGGACGCTTCTGGGTCTCCTGAGGCAGTAAGCGACGGTCGTATGCGCCTGCCGATGAGGCCAGCCAGTTCAGCGCACGGGTTTGTTCGCGAATGGCATTGCGCTGTTCCAGGCGATTGGCTTTGTGTACTTGGAGTGAGATGTACAGGACGGAGGTGGTGAGGGCAAAGCCGCTGAACTGATATGGGTGTAAGTTCTGGTGGTTCGGTTTGTATACGAGGAGGTGGATGGAGTTGAAGGGATGGATGTAGCGTGGATAGATGGATGGATGGGTGAAAAGAGAGGAAGGGTAGAATGGAGACTTACGAAGCCAGCGAAGAAGCCCATGCTATCTCTATTTTCGAATAATGAGACCGAATATTCACAGATGGCTTGACAAGAGCCAAATTAGAGGATGTCGAGATTGTTAGATTGTACAGATGAAAGCGGGGGTACTGCAGAGCCCTTGCGGACAATCAGACAATCGGGATCGATTGAGATGGAACGACAAGAAGATCGGTCTGGTCTGATGTGATCACCAAGCGGAGATGGGACAAAACGGATCTGCCCAACTTTTCAAATGCCACTGTACAGTTCAGGCAAAATAGAATTCCCAATCGTAAGACGCAAAAAGGCTCAATGGGATCGAAGGAAGGAAGTTCAAGATGTTCTCAAACGGAGGAGAAAGTCGGGGCTGCCGTACCCGCACTCCGATTGGCTACGCGGCGAATCGAATCTTTCCGCCATCTCCATCTCCAGCTTCATCTTTCCCTCTGAACGACGACGAAAACAACCGGCGACTCCTGATATCCCATTGCACCTTACCGGTTTCAATCCCTTTCGGTCTTTTCGACTTGATCCATCCGATCCCACCGCCTGGCCTCGAAGCCAACATATCCCATTCATCAACACAACCTCCCGAAAAGACACCCATTCTTAAACCTCCCTCACCACCACCAACACTATGGCCGGAGGTGCTACCAAGTTCCGCCATTTGAGCCGCAAGTCCTCTCACAGACAGGCTCTGCTCCGCAACCTCGTCACCTCCCTCTTCCAGCATGAATCCATCACAACCACATGGGCCAAGGCCAAGGAGGCGCAACGACTGGCCGAGAAGTTGATCACCCTGGGCAAGAAGAACACCGAAGCCAGTCGGAAACGCGCATTGTCGACGTTTTATGTATGACGCAGTCCTTATCTTCTCTTTCTCAAACACATACATACATACCGTGGAGAACATACGATAGAGGAAAGCGAACATTCTCAACTAACCAAGGAATAATAGACCCCCCACGAGCTCCTCCCCAAACTCTTCGGTCCTCTTCGTGAACGCTACGCCGAACGCCCCGGTGGCTACACACGAGTTCTGCGCGTCGAACCCAAGAAGGACGATCAAGCCGCCAGCGCAATCCTGGAGTTGGTAGATGGACCTAAAGATATGCGGTTTGCTTTGACGGCGCGGACAGTTGCTAGGCAGCGGTCTCAGGGCTTGGAGACCCTCAATGAACTCACTACGATGAATGTCAATAAGGTCACACGGTTCCGGAAAGGAGGGATTGCTGATCTGGAGAGGGAGATCAAGCGGTTAGAGATCACGGGTCACGGGAAGGAGGACGCGGGGAAGGCGAAGCCTGCGAAGCAATAAAATGATGAATGAGTGGGTGAGTGAGTGATGGGTGTGGTAGTGGTGGCCTAGTTGGCCTTTATATTGTGTATCTTTATTATTCCTTCACCTTCACCTTCACTGTTGTGTGCTTGGGCCCTGTGTTTTGGCTAGTCATGATTGTGTAATTTTAGCTGTTATTTCCCCCTGTGGTGTCGTGTATGTAGATTGGACCGTTCCTCCCCAGTCATCGAGATTATCTCAGGAAGTGTAGACTACTTATTACATCTATTAACAAGATACTAGCACTTGGTGTCATACAGTTTATTTATCTAAGCACTATCGCCTGCCCTTCCCAAGCCAGCAAGATCTAGCAAACATAGCAATGCTCAAAGTACATCGAAGTAATTCAGGTTTCCAACCAAGTCCCGAACGCCCACGAAATCCCAGTCGTCGACCGCGAGGGGTTGGGCGGCGCTGACAGGACCTTGAAACCCAGTTCCCACTCATCAAATCATTCCTCTCTCCGACTAACGATGCGACGCTGATCACAACAAACAGTTCCTGTGTCTAATCTTCCAGAGATACAGAACGGCCACGTCAGGAACCTTGCCACCAGCGACACATCACGCCAACATTGAACCGTATGTACTTTTGTAGAAAGCAGTCAAGTAGTAGTATCACTCTAATGAAGAGAAGCTTAGTCTGCCGTAGGCAGGAGCAACTTAGTTTACCCGTGGCAGACTTGCTCCGCCAGAAACAACAAGCGGCCCGTTCTTGGTGGCGGGGAGCGTGTTGCCTGAGTAAGGATGCGCCGAGCTGGGCCCACTGCGCGGTTTCAAGTCAAAGTCAGAAGGCACCTCGGACGGTGGTGGCTTGGGTGGCAGATGTGACGGTGTCCCCCATTTCGCAATAGAGTCTCTGGTTCCCGAAGGCCCACCGCGGGTCGGGCCATGTCCAACTGAACCAGGCATGTCTTGAGCCTTGCTGTTCATATCTTGAAATCCGGACCACTGGGGCTGCATACCCGGTTGCATACCGGGATATGGGTTCATACCATGCTGGTTGCCCTTGCTGGGGTGCCGTGCTAACGCCGCACCACCAGGGACAAACGAGCGGGTCTGTGGATTGAAAGGCGACCTATTGAAGCTTCCGGGCAAAGGGTGAGCACCGCCGTGACCCTGCATGCCCGGACTCATGGGCTGTCCGGGATACTGAGCATAAGGATAAGAAGTTGGTGTAGGAGGCTGCGTTTGATAGCCGGCCCATCCCGATGGGGGAGGATTGCGATGTGATGGTTGTGGATAGCCGCCGGCATAAGGTGGCGTGGACCAACCAGGATTGGGTTGATATTGGACGGAGTTTGGCATAGGATAACTGCCCAATGCAGGAGACGACTTAGTGGATGCCATCGCGGGCGACTGGTTGATGGTCGCATAACCAGAGTAGGGGGACTGTTGTGGCACAGGGCCATTCTGCCATGGGCCACTAGGAGTCATCTGAGGCGACACAGGCATCGAATAATGCGGCATAGCATTCATGTTCACGGGCCCAGAATACATTGGACTAGCCTGGCCACCATGACCGTAGCCCATAGTAGGCGGCGACACACCGGGTCCCACCATGCAAGGTTGGGTTGGAAAAGACGGGTCATTGACAGGCATGCCGTAGGGCATGGGTCCGTTGGCATAAGGCATTCCTGGATAATACGCGTTGAACTGAGATCGAACCTCAAAACTGTCATCGTGAGGAGTTTTCTGTCGGTGCGCCTTTTTGCGTCCACTTGTTGAGCTCGAGCGTGACATATTGGTACCGGAATCGCCATTGGCATTCTCAGAACTTTTCGACTCGGTAAAATCACGGAAAATCCGCTCCCTAGCTTCCTGGTACTTGGCTTCCCTCTCTTCGCGGGTCAAGGTCAACCTGTCCTTTGCCGGGGTAGATCCCCTTTCCCCGTCATTTCCACTGTCCCCCGCTTCGGACCCGTTCTTAGACGGAGCGGAGGAGCTTGCCGCGATGCTACCCTCGGTGGAAGGCCGCTCACTATCAGTACGGCGCATGATCTTCATGGCAGGCATGGCGGGAGGCGGAGTACTATTAGTCGCAGCGTGGAGAACTGAGAGAGGCGTGGGGCTACAGAGGTTAGCACAAGTCAACTATAAAAGAAGTGAGCATCGCAGCGCAGACTTACAGCCGACAAAAAGGCGTCCGGTGAAGCCGGACGGACGTGACGTTATTGTCAACGAAGTGCGTCAGATGGTAATAATCGCCCAGCTTGTGTGCAAGGAGCCGCCCAAAAGCGTTCGAAGGCGGGAGTTCCAAAGAGTGCTCCCTAGGAAATCGTCAGAATATTAAACTCAGGACCACGAAGGCAGCACGGTGGGCCGACTTACTTAGAATTTTGTATAAAGTATCGGACCTTTTCTTCCAGTTGAAGAATCAAGAGGCGGTCTTTGGGGGACTTCATAGCCTCGAGGAGTTTCTCGTCGGGCTCTGACGGGAACCCATGTATAGGCCGTCCTGCTTGGAAAGCATCGGTGTTCGCGTAATTGTTGGCGACAGTGTCTGGCAGCATGGCACCATTCGTGCGCTGTATACCATCATTGAAGATAGGTACCGTCGGCTGGAGGATTCCCCGAGGTCTCTGTATGAATCCGCGCGCACCTGACTCTGACCCTGTCAAAGAATTTGGGGCACCGGAAGCGTGCCCAGATAGAGACTCCTCCTCATCAATAGCCTGAACGCTCGCACTGTCATCCGGACGCAAAGAATCTTTTTCGTCCATTGCGAATGTCGTCACAGAAGCCATGCTCTTAGAGTCGAAGCTCGTGGGCTTGGTCGAGGAGTTGGAAAGATGGGTACGATCGTCCTCAAACGAGTTCTCTCGTTTCAGAGAACCGTTGTCTGCAGCCTCAGTGGAGAACACAGGACCGTCGTGGTACTTTCTGTCATCGATGCTGACACCATGCACGGCCTGAGATAGACTGTCGATGTTTCGATCATCAGCGGCAGCCTCGTTTCGGACAGGGGTCGGAACTCTCTGGTTTGAGGGGACATTTTCCGAGCCACGTTGTTCGGAACATGATGATGGGTCGTCGACGGACTGTGAGCCGTTCAATTCGTCAGATGATACGGGGGCTTCCGGATTTGATGGCGGAGGCATGGCCGCAATCTGCTCAAGCGGGTCAGCAAGAGCCCGCCGTTGGCCGACCAGCAACGCAGCACCTACCTTTGCAAAGGAAAGACGATGCTCGTCTCTTGTGGAACTCTTGGATGCCATTATTCCCTGACACTCTCTGAGCCAAACGTCCAGGGTTCTTGTAGCGTAATTCCTTCCGCTGAAGCAATAAACGATCGGATACGGACGGATTGGATAAGGGGAAAACCCGACGAGAGACTGCAGTCTGCCCGCTCAGGTGTTGACGAAGAAAAAGCCGAAATGAATATCGATCAAAAGCCACTCAAAGATCCCACTTCACACAAGCCCAAAAAGAAAGACGGCACATATCTGGAAAACGGAGGTCGCCATAAGGAAAGCTGCTTCGACGTCAGATCCGGTCGGAATGTCACAAAGCCGTGCTCTGTGAGAAGCGGGGTGGAGATTGGCTGATCAGGAGCCGGAATACGGGAGGATGCAGGCAAGCAGGCAGACAAAGAGAGGAAGGAGAGAGAAGACTGCTCTTACACGATGGTCAGAACGATTGGCTCATGGCTTTCGATATGCAACGCTTGTCTTTGGGGGGGAAGAGGAAGGATTCCAGAGGGAGGAAATGAGGTTTCCTTCCACTAACGGGGACGATCAGGACACCAACCAAGCCAGTCGAAGAAAAGTAGGGAGTGGGAGTCGTGACGGAAGTGCCCTTGGACTTCCACTAACACCGGAGGGCAGGTTTGGGGGGAGAAAGTGGATGTGGATGGGGAGTGGGTAAAGGGCAAGCCGACGATGCTGGACCGGCTTTTTGATCTTTTGGGCTGAGAAGGAACGAGCAACGCTTCAAGTCAATCGGGCGGGTTTCGCTTGGCTCCTCCTTCGTGGGCCGCCGCCCGCGCTTAGCCGCGCGCCTAACCTAGTCGGCCCGGCCCACATTCTGCCTGCGACAGCCGCGGGGGGGAAAGAGCTTGGGTTTGGGATATCCAGGCTGATTTCCAGGCGTGCGGGGATCTTTTGTCATTTGTGCTCTTGTGTTTCAGTCAGGCAGTCGATCCATAGCTCCTTTTTTGACTCCGCTACTGTCTCGACCTGCGCCCCGGATGAATCGCTATCGAAATGCTCCCGGCCTCAGAGGCCCTACCAAGGCAACTCCTAGCACTTTGTGTCAAAAATGCCTGAAACGAGATACGTAAAGACCATCTACACTTTATTTTCATATTTGCTGACGGTCCCAGCACGGCACTATAGTTATGAATGTACAGTGACCGCCCAGGAGCGGCCGTACATGTCTCGTCCATCACGCACGCAGCAGTTATTGAACCCCAAACTGCGGCCGCAACTCTCAGCTGATGTCCCTAGTGACTCGTCGCGCACGTAGGTCTACTCTTTCTATCTATCTCATGAGCGAGCTGTCAGGAGTAGGTGCTAAAATGCGTATAGCAAAGGACTAGCGACTGAGATTCTTGCTAAGCGTGAGGAAGAACGAGGTCGCAAAAGAGAGCATGATGAGGCGGACCCTCTTGACAGTCGCACTCAGACCTCTAAACGAGCTCGGTCAGCATCATCACATTCGGTCAGCTCGGTATCGACGATATCGACCAGTCGGTCACACTCGAGATCGCCCTCTCGCCATGCGGACTATGGTGCTAGGAAGAGCCATGGCCGAACAAGGTCCATCTCTTCCCATGTCTCCGGACCCAGGAAGAGACGCTACAGCGATGCGTCTTCTCATGATTCTGCAGTCTCCTACTCGTCCAGGGACAGAGATTCACGTTCTCGATCGCGTGAATGGCAGGGTGACAGAAACACCCGGCGGAGGCGTCGAGAATCCAGCCCCGAAGAACGGGGCCGGCCTCGACACATGTCGCGGGACCGTGAACGACGAGACAGGTCCCGAAGTCAGAGCGTGGATCACAGCCGAATTGCCAGGGCGAGACGGTCTGCGACCCCAGAGAAGCGGCCGGAGCGTAGCTATCCTGCTTCAAGGGATTATAGGGATGGTCCGGGTCGCTCGCAGAAGGATGGACGGGGCCAAGGACGTGCGCCGCCTCCGCCCCGTGAGAGGAGTCTCAGTCCTTACAGCAAGCGTCTTGCGTTGACGCAGTCCATGAACATGGGCAGCTAGGTGTCTTTGGCTTGAGGTTTGGAATAGAAAAAGTACTGGACAAAAGGATGTGCGGGAGTTTGGCGTTTTCCCTCTTTCGAGGCTCATCACCACGGGCTGGTTCTCCAAGGATTATAAACGAGGGGCTGTACTATAGTAAGACCATACAGAAGGCTAATGCATTGAAAGTAATTTTCCAAGTAAACCGTATGCAAAGATCCTCAACGCCTTGCGACACTTGTCCCAAATCCTCCAACTGTGGGCGCCTGTAAAAGCAAGATGCAAAGAGATGAGACCGAATCGCAACTGCTACCATACATCTTTCCATGGGGTATCAAAATCATGCCTCATCATCCTCCAGACCATTGCCTGCCTCCTCTTCTTCCCTCTCACGGACATGAATGCCCTGAACCAACATATCACCTTCAATGCCCACTTCTTCGCCCTGTTCACCTCCATTGGCACCTGTCCCTTTCGCCTGAGCTGCGCGTTGTGCCTCTTCTATCCGTTGGCGAACAAGCTTCGCAATCGCATTCTGAGTTCGAACATTGAGGACGTTCATCTTCTCATCCAAGTCCCGCTTCAAATCCCAATTCGGCTTCTTAGGCTGTAGCTTGAAGAGGTCAATGGGCTGGTCACCTTCCTCATCCTTCTTCGCTTGCTCTGCGGTGGCCCTTGCGATCTCTGCAGCCTGCGCTTCCACGGTGATCTGACCATCTGACGGGGCGGTGTCGAAACCCAGCTTTGGGCCGCGCATTTCTGCGTCGTAGTTCCTCCCGGAGAGGTATTGCTTTGTTACATCGGGGGCAGCATCTTCTAATTCTTCATCGGCGGCGCCAGTTTCGGTCAATGGCTCTGGCTCTGGTTGTTTGCGCTTCAGCGCGGCAAGCTTTGCAAGGCGTGCTTTGCGCTCATTTGCCGCCGCATCAAGAGAAGCATGATTTGACGACATCACGGCGGGGGAGGAGGGTCGGATATAAAAATCGAGCGGCGGAGGTTTTCACGATATGGTGTGAGTACGGGGTGTAAAAGGAGGAATGATTCTTTTGATTCTGCCCGCAGAAAACTCCAAGTCTCTTCGAGAGGGTCTCGCGTCGCCCGAGAATCTCAGACAAAGTAATGATGAAGTCTAGAATGATCTTTCGGTAGGTAACTTGCTTGTGCTTGGTTATCGGGCGGTGCTGCGCCACATCTGTAACGCACCAGCCACATCGGCGCCGGAGCAAAATCCGGCGGCGGAGGGAAAGATTATTGGCCGCAACAATCGTGCTTCCCTTCTTTCCCCGGTCCAAACCCGCGCTGTGATTGTTCTGGCAACCTTCAATCGAGATATGAGCTGAACGAGCTGTGAGTCTGAATGTTACCTTGTCCGCACCATCTCCCGCGTTCCCGCGTCTGCGCTGGATTGCCGTCCTATAGCCCGCAGCACAGGCTCCGCTTTGGGCGACGGAGAGAAGGACACTACGATACAAGATCCTTTGTCGACAATGCGCCGCGATCGAATACGTCGAGTCAGCTGGATGTTCTAACCAATGGTGTGAGGCCTTCCAGCGTCTACTGCACTGTTAACCCGGAAATGAAGCCCCAGCGCCTCTTCCATACAACTACCTTTGGCCGATCTGCAGGGAATCGTGTATTTCACAATCAGCCCTCGATTACCAAAAGGGAGTTCTCACTTCTGTCACCCGGAGCTGGTTCTCGCAATGCAACTTTACTATCGATCATCAACAAACACACCACACTTTCCGTCGTGCAGAAACGCAATTTGCGCACCCCACCTACCCTCGCGAGCTTCAGCGATGTGAAGCCGCTCTTGACATTGCGGTTTGGAAAAGAAACCAAAGCCTTGGATTTGGCTATTAGATCCGGATCATATATGTGCAGTGGAGATGATATTCGAAAATGGAGATTTGCGCAAAGAGAGTTGTTTCAGGCGAAGTACGAGGAGAGAGAGGTGCAGGAAGAGTTGGTGCCTTACCCTCTAGACTCAAAAGATAAGGAGCTGCTGAAGGCCATTCGAACGGACAGCCTGGGAGCGTTCCGTGAGGCCTGGAATGGCCTAACCCCGATGGAAATGGAGATCCACTGGGGGCGATTGTCGCTGTGGCTATTACGGAATTCTCCTGAGCTGGCCTTGGAATTCCTCCTAGTCACTTGTCAGGCTTCTGTTAAACCAGTATTTGCCATGATTGCGGACTGCCTGATCTATTTGGACACTCTTCATTCTGGTGAGATGCAGCGGTGGAGGAAAAATTCCCACAACTATCAGTCTGTCATACGTATCTGCTTGGATCCCATGCAGTGGCCTGTCTCCTATGTGCCGCAGAAGGGTGTGCGCTTCTACATAAAGAAGGCTGACCGTAGCGCAGTTTATGAGGCATGGAATCTTGTGGAGACTCGAAAGCACAGATTGAAGGGCGAGACCTACCTTGGTTTCATGGGCCGCTTCACGGAATTCAAAGACGTTGACAACGCACTCCTGGCACTGCGCCGGGCTGGGCGGCAGTTTTGGAGATTACATCAAAGTCCTATGGAGATAGCAGATTCACGCCATTGCAGCAAGCTCTTGGTTCTCGACTCGGTTGTGGATGGCCCGGATGGACGCAATTTCCGCATTCTTCCCGAACTCCTCAGTATGGGGGTGCAGCCTGACCGAGACATGATGAACGTGGTGCTCTCTAACGCCTTCAAGACAGGGGATCCTCAACTCGGGCTTGATGTATTGCGCCATATGAAGGCTCAAGGCTTCCAGCTCGATTCGTACACTTATCTGACTCTACTTAGCGATGCTGTCGCTCGTCAAGACAGGGAGCGAATGACACACTTGATGGAGGAACTTGAAAGCCAGCCAGAGCTCAAGAAGAACCCCTATATTGCGAGCAAGCTCTTCCACTCTCACTTCGTTTTCAACGTCAAGCATCTCGATGGTGCTACAGACCGCCGGGAGATTTTCTACTCACTGCTGCGCATGTATTGTGAGCTGCATGACATAACGCCCCTAAAAGAGCTCTCGATTGTCCCTCGTCAGTACGATCTTCCAACAACTGGCGAAAAGACCCCACCGTCCGTCATTGCCTTGTATCTCGTGATTGCGACTTGGCTCCGGTGTCAAGCTCACGTGGGCAGCGTCGAACGTGTTTATACCAGGTTCCGGGAATTGGTGTTGCAAGGCCACAAAGACGTAGCCCCTCTAGCTGCGACCGACCATACCTACAATGAGTTCATGCTTGCGTATCGTAACAATCCACACGGGTTACGGCCCGCTGTGCGCGTTGTTGAAGACATGTTACAGTCTGCCACTGAGGTTGGCGCCAAAACTGGCAATTCTGAGTCAACTTTCACGCAGACACAGCCAACGGTCTTGACTTGGACGCTGCTGTTGAGTGCTTTCATCTATAACAACCAGCCACTCGCGGCTGAGAAGGTGAGAGAGATGATGGCTAAGCATGGTGTTGTATACAGCATGACTACTTGGAATGTCATCATCAGCGGGTTTGCGAGCCAGCAAAATGCATCTGCCATCGCGCAGTCCATCAAAGATCTCGAAGATCAAGGCCTTTCCATTGATGCTTATACGATGAAGGGCCTGCGCTACCTCCGAGACCCGGAGCAGCTCTGGATTGCGGTGGAGCAGTTGGACCTGAAATCTGCATCTCACTTGAGGAGGGATGCTTTCAACCCGAACCCCGAATCTCCCCACCTGGACGAAGCGGAAACTGAGCAGCTGCTCGATCGAGGCCTGCAGCGTCTAAAGGCCAACGCATGAGATACCCTTCTTTCTGTTTCCCGTCTCTTTCTGTTTCTTCTCTTGCATCTCTAGCGCGGACCTGGGACTACGGTGGTTTCGGACAAAATCATTCTTGAACATAGACATCCTGATAGTGTAGCATTTATGTACGATATACAGATCAATAATCATGAGAGACCCCTGCAAGAAAAGAAGATGCAAAAAAGAGAAGCTTCGATAACGCCACCACCTGGTAGAATGACCATCTAATCTGAGACCGCATGGAGATGAGGCGAGTCAATCAGCCGCCGAAGAAAATCGAGACCTGGCAAGAGCATGGACATTAGCATTCCAGGCTAAGCTAGTAGTTGGTTCCGGGAAGGTGCTTAATATACTTACAGCCATCACCACGCAGCATATACTGACATACGGACTCAACCGTTCACCGATCCGAGCACACTTCCAGAAGATCCCAAAGAAGCTGAATATAAGGTCAGATTAGAATCATGTCACTTCATAGACTCGACTTGAGGTCCGCTGCAGAAAGCAGCAGTCAGCAGCACTTACCCGCTCTGGTTGCGGTCCATGATCCCCGGCATCATCGAGTGTGCATATGTGCTCGTGCAGATGATAAGCAAAAACACGAGCAGAAGTGACTGAAAGTTGAACAAGGCCGACTGCATCATACACGAGAAGTCAACGATCCATTGCCAGTAGATGTGGCAGCAAGTGGGAAATTGCGGAGTATTCACTGACCATATTGAGAGTAACTGATCGTTGACTACCTCACTGTCTTTGATTTACTTTCCTCTTCTTTTCTCCAATCCCTCCCAAGTCGTCTGTATCTCAAAAAGGTACCCCTATCGTCCGTGCAAACCAAGTGACGAGAGTAACACTTGATGAACCAGACGACCTCCCGTCCCGCGCGCAACCAAACCAAGCGATTCTGCCACCATGTCTTCCGTCACGAGTTCCCACCGCCTTTCCGCGCGGAAGTCCGGCCATCGTTCCGCCGCAGCTCCTGCTTCAATTCGCAACACACCTTCTGTCCGTCCAGCCTCGCAACCTCTCCGTCGCTCTCTGCCATCGCAGCAGACTTCTAGGGCTTCACCAGCCTCTTCCCGTCAGCCCAGCACTGGCCATGTGTCGAGTCAGCTCGCTTCTGCTTGGCCGTTCAATCCCCAGGAAACAGAACTAATCCGCGCCGGATACCGTCCCGCCTTCAAACCGAAACCCGTCGCCGCAGCGGACGAACAGTCCTCGACCAACAATAACAGCAATAGGAAAGGGCCCAATAAGAAGAATAATATGGCGGAACCACGAGCCCGTGCCGCTAGGCACAAGGGTCAGATGAACTTTGCATCTGAACGTACGTCTGTCGCCGTCGATATGTAAATCGATAGCTGGACCTATAGTTCTGGTTGCTAACATGAACCCTCACATCAGTCCGCCTCCTCCTTCTTGCCTATGGTGACCCCCGTCCGCACCCTTCGTTTCCCGCCGAACCACTCCCCGAAACCATCCGTGTTCTGGACGAGATTGTCACCGACTTCGTTCTCGAAATGTGTCACGGTGCGGCCCAGTACGCCAGCTACTCCCGCCGGCAGAAGATCAAGGTCGATGACTTCCGGTTTGCGCTGCGCCGGGATCCCAACAAGCTTGGTCGTGTGCAGGAACTTCTTCGCATGGAGCGTGAGCTGAAAGAGGCTCGTAAGGCATTCGATCAGAATGACGATCAGGTCGGGAACTTGAAGGATGCGGGCAAGAAGGGTCTTGAGGAACTTGGCGAAAGTGTTGATGGGAAGAAGAGTAAGGGCAAGGGGAAGAGAAATGCAAGAAGGGATTCGGATGCCACGGAGGATACGGCGCCGAAGAAGAGAAAAGTTGTGGGATGAGCTGAGATTTGATCTTGCCCGATACCTTTCTCTGGCTGCTGATTTGTTTTTCTTTTTCCTCCTCTACTTTTCTGGCGTTCGGGACTACAGGGATAGGGTCTGCCCACCTGCTTCTTAAACAAATATGATATCCACTATCTGGTCGGCATTGGGGGGGCGTTTGTTATGTATCAAGATCGGAACTCTTACTTAGCTTAAATCAACTAGCTCCCTAGATAAATGAAAACTTATCAGGAGATCCGTCACTACTGGAAAAGGTAAAGTTCCATCGATAAGACATGATCTACCCTAGTTCGTACTCTATTGCAACGTCTGTCAACAGAATAGATAGACATGAAAGTCAACTAGCCCCAAAGGCATTGCATATGTACCAAAACCCACCATGACACTGTCACCCTACCCTACATCACATACAAGAGAACAGGACGATAACGAAATGCAAGCTTCTGGTTCTAGGCTGATCGCGTGTACGTTAAAGCATCTCTTCTGCTCTCTTTTTCCCATTCTTTTTGTCCATTTCAAGCCAGACAGACGGACTCCCATACGCCGTTCGTTGCTCTTTTCTTTCATTCTTTCATCTTATTTCTTTTCCTCCTTTCAATTTTTGGGCTTTATTGGTTCGTTCTTCGTATGATCCTATCCGTCCAATATTATGCGCAGTTTCTTTCCTGAGAAAGACAGGTGATCATTGATAGGGTGCGTATTGGTTGGATGTGATGCCTGCCATGCCAGATGCGGAACCAGGCTTCAACCCGCACACGAGGTCTCCTTGGCTGGCACAGGAACGGATATGGACTGGAAACATATCATATATCCAGGAAATAGAAAGATATCAAGGGGACATGCTTTTTGTTGCGTGGCGAGAGAAATTGAAAGAAGAAAAGAATTTTTGCACAAATGAAATAAATGTTAAAAAGAGAAATGGAAAGGTATCGTTATAATAACCCTATGATATCCTCTTACGCGCGAGCCTCCTCTCCGCTCCGTTCTTGAGTCCGCTGTTGCCCGCCCCGGCCTCCTTTGCCGCCCCGTTGGCCGCCGCGCTTGTCGCCCGACTCGCCGCTGCCGGACTCGCCTCCCAGAGTCAGCTGGGCGGTTGCTAGCCGGTTGGACAGCTCCATCTGTGTACGGATGGTGTTGGCCAGGTAGGACACGACCAGGACGTCCTGGATGTGGTTGTTGCTGTTGATTTCGGTTAGTTTGGTACTTGATATTGGGCTGATAACTAGGGGGGTAAGGGAAGAAGAGGGGAGGGGGGCAACATACAAGTCACGCTCAATGTCAGCAGGCTCAACCTTAGGCGCCAGAGCCAAGGTGTTGAGCAGGTACTGGCCCAAGGCCGTCGAAGCAGGAGCCTCCTCGTCAATGACAGACTCAACGTAGCGGGAAACCCGGTCGATCATGCCCAGAACATCCTCAATCGCACGCTCCAGAGCCTCAATATCAGTGAAGATGTTGGCACGGCGCTCCTCGGCATCACGGGCCGCAGCAATAGCCTCCAGACCACTCTTCTCGGCCTCGCCGTAGCGGATCTCGTAAGGGACGGGGATGAAGGCGGCGCTGTCGGCGGCTCTCTCCGCGGTCACACCAACGGGGGCGGAGATGTAGGCGCGGGTCTCGATATCCTTGCCAGCCTCGGTGGACACGGTCAAGTGGACGGCAGGGTGAGGCCATGTGCCATCACCCTGGCCGCTGTAGAAGTTCTGGATCAAAGCGGAAAAGGTGTTCAGCTCGGACGAGGTGGCGTACCAACCCACGAGCACTTCCTTGGGGTTGGCCTTCAGGTGCAACGCAAGCATCTGCTTCTGGTATTCCATGTCCACCTCAACCTGGTCTGTCGTCTCCGTGTGTCCAACAGCGAAAGTGCTGCGGATTTCCACCTCGGTTCCATCCTCGGATCTGGTTCCCAGCAGAGTACCGATGACACGCTCCTGGTCAGCGTTGCGACGGAGGGAGTGGTCCAGGATCGAGAAGAGCGCCTAGCCGATAGTATTAGCATTCTGGCTCCGGTCGAAGAGGGCTGCCTGATCCAGCCATAAAACACGTACCTGAGGTTGGATAACAACGTTCAGAGGGGCGGTTGTCGGTGCAGTCCCCACTGCCACGGGGCCCAGAGGGCGAGCGAGGTGAAGGAAGGAATCAGCTTCAGCCATGATGAAAAATAGGTCGAGCGGTCTCTCGGGTTGATCTCGTCCTGGCCGTGGGGGGGAAAGAGTGGCACTCTGGGGTTCGGGATTCTAATTAAATCTTCCGCCTCTGATGCCGCGACGGAGGTTCTGCTGCGAGGCTCAAATTGTGTGTGCGCAAAGGGAATTTCGCGCTAAGATAAGATAAGCAACTCCCCCCCAACGCCGCGAAAAAATAATCCGCCCAACTGCAATCGACCCCGAATTGTTTCTTTCCCAGTGGCCATAGCCAATTTAATTTCACGTTTACTTTCCTATCAATGGCTCCTCCAAGAGGCAGAGCCCCTAGAGGCCGCGGAAAACGCTCGAGAGGGCCCGTTGGGCGCCGCAATGCCTTCCAGGCTTCTCGGGTTGACGACATAGAGTGAGCATCACTTCCGCGCTGGTCTCTACAGTAAAGCTGACCACCCGTGCAGGTCGGAAGATTCTTCGTCCGGGGAAGATGGCCCTATTGATGAGCATATGGAGGAAGGTATGGCCGAGGAGGAAGCCATGGATGTCGGTTCATCCAGCGACGAAGAGGATGAGAAGTCCGGGCGTCCTTACAACGAGCTGCTACAACTGTTGAACACATCTACCGACTCCAAGGGTCCGGCCCGCAAGAAGAGAAAGGTCGAACATAAGAATACAGAAACCATCGAGGTCGTCCGTGAGGACCCTGTTGCGGAAGAGGACGAAGAAGCTCTCGGGGAGGACGATCTAGAGCAGCAAGAGCCTTCGGATGAAGAGGACAATGGGAATCAAGAAGATGCTGGCGCACAGGATAGTGACGATGAAGATGGTATATTCTTAAGCTGTTTATTCTTTTGGCCATTGCACTAATCTTCAAACAGACAATGATCCTTTCGACACGCACTTCACGAACCCGACGGAGGATGAGCTTGCTAAGAAGATCAAGGCTATCGGGGAGAACAAGTGGAAGAATGCAAAGAAGGAACTGCCAGAAGGTTTGAGGCTTGTGCGCGCTGTCCCAGATACTGGCGATGATGCGTCCTGGCTGCCTCCAATGAAGCAGATCTCAAGCGTGAAGGTGAGCGTGGCAGCCCCAGTTTACTGAAACGGCCGCTGATCTAGATCCGGTACAGCTGAAGAGAAAGCTTAAAGAGCCAGCCTCCGATAAATTCCCCCAGATCAGCGGACAGGCCCAACATATTGCTCCGTACATCTTCGGCTACCAGGACGTCCTGTATGGAGCCCGGACGCCATCCAACTCAGCCCAGATGCGCGACCTTCTGGCCCTCCACGCCACCAACCACGTGCTGAAGACCCGCGATCGAGTGCTTAAGAACAACACACGCTTGGCCAAAGAGCAAGACGCCGACCTCGATGTCCGAGACCAGGGCTTCACTCGGCCCAAAGTACTTTATCTCTTGCCTACCAAGCAGGCTTGCGTGCGGGCCGTTGAGTCCATCACGCGCTTCTTTCAACCCGAGCAACAAGAGAACAAGAAACGTCTCCTCGACACATTTTCGGCAGCTGATGACCCGTCATGGGAGAACAAGCCGGACGACTTCCGCGAGCTCTTCGGTGGCAATGACGACGATATGTTCCGTCTAGGTCTCAAGTTCACCCGCAAGACCGTCAAGTATTTTGCACAATTCTACACCTCCGATATCATCATGGCCAGTCCGCTGGGTCTACGCACCATCATGGACCAGGCAGAGTAAGTCGACCAACCTAACCCTCGAGTCCAGAACATTCTATCTAACCCCCTCACAGTGTGAAGAAACGCGATCACGACTTCCTTTCGTCTATCGAAGTAGTAATCGTCGACCACGCGGATGCCTTGCTCATGCAGAACTGGGATCACATCGACTACATCATGAAACACCTCAACCTGCAGCCCCGAGAGGCACACGGGTGTGACTTCAGTCGTGTGCGAACATGGTATCTGGACAACAACGCGCGGTATGTGCGGCAGATGATCATGCTCACCTCATTCGTCACTCCGGAGATGAACTCGGTGTTCTCGACGCACATGCACAACACCTCGGGCAAAGTCAAGGCCACGCCGATCCACGCGGGGGCGATCACCGAGCTCCCCCTCCCGGTGTCGGTCAGACAGACATTTACCCGCTTCGACTGTCTCTCGCCGGCGAAAGACCCCGATGCGCGCTTCAAGCACTTCACCACGACAATCCTCTCGTCGCTAGTGCGCGATATTGCTTCCGGTCGCGGCAAGGCCAGCGCTGGAGGAACCCTGATCTTCATCCCGTCGTACCTGGACTTTGTACGCGTGCGTAATCACTTCGCCACGTCGCAGCAGACCACCAACGTCTCGTTTGGAGCCATTTCCGAATACACCGAGCAGCGGGAGGCGTCGCGGGCTCGCTCATACTTTATGAACGGACGCCAGTCGGTGCTGCTGTACACGGAGCGTCTGCACCACTTCCGTCGGTACCAGCTCCGCGGGGTCAAGCGGATCATCATGTACGGAGTGCCTGAGAACCCGGCATTCTATAGCGAGATTGTCGGGTTCCTGGGATTGGATCCAGCCGCGTTGGTGGAGGCGGCCGAGGGAGGTGTGCGGGCGTTGTTCTCCAAATGGGATGCGCTGAAGCTGGAGCGGATTGTAGGCACGCAGCGAGTGGGCAATATGATGCGGGAGAAGGGAGGAGATACTTTTACGTTTATGTAAATCTCATATACTAGTAGCTGTATACTAATTTATGTGTATACTGTTGAGAATAGACCAACACAGGTACTACCGGTAGTAGTGACACGGACCTTGAGTGACCGATTGAGTTTGATCCCTGCTGCTCACATGCAGATGCACATCTCATTGAATTTCCATGTTGGCGGCACATCCGCCCACGTATCCTGCTCCATGATATATGACATCGTAGTACATCCAGTGAACTTGGGTTAGTGTCACTCCCAACAAACAATATATCTACGTAGATACTAGGTATATAGTACACCCGATAAGCGCAACACAACCAAGGAACCATTCCCATCCACAGCCAGCAACCAGGAATACCTGCATAGCATTCAGATTATTATCCTTCATGAACAATACAATACATTGAACTCCATATACTCTTCATCCAACAACGACACTCAATCCATATACTTCAGTCAAAACAGTAAGATTCGGACAATCTACACTCCAAACCGAAGGGTGTCACAAGGGCCCGATTAGTCATGCAAAAAAACAAGGCCGATCGCGGCTCTAAAAGAAGTTTGGTGTCACGGGCTTATTTTGTCTAATGGATTATTTTTTTTCTTTTTTGCTGGGGATAAATAGAAGGATATCGTCACATTCCATTGCTTTTCCCAGCCGGTCTGTTGACTTTCAAGGTTTTTTTTTTCTATCTCCAAAGGGGGGAAGGGATACTTCAGTCCTTGCACTACTATTCCTATTCATGAGTACATGAACGATTCGACGATATTTCAAACTGTTTTGTTTTTTTGTTTTCATGAGTTTATGAATTACGAAGCAAAGGAATCAAACACGAACTACGACCCAAAATAATCTGGAAACTGGAAACACAATGTCTCTGAATCCATCTGACGCAAGGGGCGTCAACTCGACCGCGGGTGAAGAAACTCAACAATATGTAACTTTACTACCGGCTCAGAATCAAGTCGATGAGCAGCACCAACAGCACGTTGTCTATTCGGAGCAGACGCCGCTGCTTCGGTCGGGACTTGGTCATGAGTCTGCTTCTGCTTCTTCAACAATGCATCACTATTCATCTCAGCCCTGGTGGAAGACGGCGCAGCAGGTAGCCTGCGATGTCTGGCTGCAGGGCAAGGGCATGATGCTGGTCATGTTCTCGCAATTCTTTGGCGCGTCGATGAATGTCATGACGCAGTTTTTGGAAATCAAAGGTCGTGATGGGAAGGGGTTTCATCCGTTTCAGGTGCGTTCTATATCGCCTACCTATCTTTCTGCTGGATAGCTCTGCTCTGCTCTGCTGCTAGTGGATGGATGATCTACTGTACACTGTGTAGGGGACGTCCACTCGCGGGGCACCCTCTAGTTAGACACTAGATATCCCTGCTCAGGAACCCGGCTGATCCCGTAAGAACAGATCCTGTTCGCCCGCATGTCTATCACGGTTCTCGCTAGTTACCTCTACATGTGGTATGCGCGTGTACCGCATCCGTTCGGAACGCGCGATACCTTCACTCTGCTGATGCTGCGCGCCGGAGGTGGATTCTTTGGCGTCTACGGGCTCTATTACTCCGTGCAGTACCTGCCGCTCTCCGAGGCGACCGTGGTGACCTTTTTAGCGCCGATCCTGAGCTGCTATGCTTGCTCGCTTTTGATCCCCAACGAGTTCTTCACGCGCAAGCAGCAGCTCGCCGGCCTGGTCTCGCTGGCGGGTGTCGTTCTCATCGCTCGGCCGTTCCCGTTCATGCGATCGGGCGGCGACTCCGAGCCGGAGCAGGGCGATAAGCCCGGTGCCACCGATAGCTACCACCACGTGCTGGCCATCGTGGTGGCTCTGTTCGGAGTGCTGGGTGCCTCGTGTGCGTACACCACGATCCGGATGATCGGACAGCGCTGCCACCCGCTCGTCTCGGTGACTTACTTCTCCACGTTCACGACAGTCGTAGCTACGCTGGCGATGCTGGTCGTGCCATCGATTCCGCTGGAGCTGCCGGGCACAGTGCTGGAATGGACACTGCTTCTGGGGTTAGGTGTCAGCGGATTCCTGCTGCAGTTCCTGCTCACAGCAGGTCTGGCATATGTACCACCGGTGCGGAAGACCAAGACATCAGTAGACTGGAACCGGGACTATGGCACGCGCGACGAGGAAGAAGAGCCGTCCGCGAAGCCAACATCGTCCGGATCACGGGCGACTTTCATGTTGTACACGCAGATGCTGTTTGCCGTGTTCTATGATCGGGCGATCTGGGGTAGTACGTTGTCGGCGGTGAGCTGGATGGGATCAGTGCTGATCCTGGTGAGCGCCATGTATGTGGCCATGGCGCGAGAGGGCGCAAAGGGAACCTCATCCGAGGAGAAGGAGGGCGGAGATCAAGAGGGCACGGACGAGAACCGGGCTGGAGTGGCTGCAGAAGAGCGTCTGGAGGAAGGCGGGGGAAGGCAAGTGAGCGGGGGTCGCGCATGAGGCGTTTTGCAAATCGCGCGACGATCTGAGGGATTTGCTAAGGAGGAAGCAGGTCGGCGTCACTGTGCATATCTCGACAGTGGAAGGAAAGAGGTTGAGCGATGCCACATGTCAATGGGGGAGAAGGGGCTCACATTGCATACACAGCATACTGGCGCAGAGCATTTATACAAAGGGTATATATAAAAATTGTAGTTATTGATTGACTGATTGATAGAAGTGAAAGTGAGGCGGTCGGATGCAGTGATACTCCATACTAAGTATACGCTAGTAAATGATGCCAGTCCGTAAGTGGCAAAGACCATAGAGAGCTCCACTCCAATGGGCATCCCCAATTGCTTTCGAGGGATGTGATTGGTTATAATGCGGGAAAGTGGCTGAAGCTCTTTCTGGATTGGGATTGTGATAGGCTCGCTTCAATACTCATAAGCACTCATACCAGACTAATACCGATACTGACTTAAGATAGTGGAGGCAGAACAATCCGGGGATACCAACTACTTTTTATACTCTTGACTCTGTATATCAGGTAGTATCTCTACGTGGCATTCTCAATTGGAACACAACCCAGATACAACTATCCCTACTCTGCAAGTCACATACTCTAGCATCAATACTACTCCTACTGCTACAACCGGAGCACTCTGATCCTACCGGCGAGCTTGACTGCAGCATCCCTGCATGTGAACAAGTTGATTGGCCGCCACCACGTCATAAGGTTGCACTTGAGACCGTGCCATTCCGATTCTTGAATATTAACTAATTTATTACTTTATACTCCTTGAGATTATTTTTATTATCACTTCGTACTTCTTGTATCTCTCTCTCTCTATCAATGTGTCAGTGTCAGTGTGCATCTGTGCATTCCCTCTACTAGCTTATATATAAGCTAGTCCCGTCATTCTTTCTCTACTCATATCTGTCTTTAGACTTGGATTCCACATTCTATCTATACATCTCCTACTTTATATATAAAAACTACTAGACTAGAAAGATACTACTATACTATTATATACACCATGCGCCACTTCGACACCTGGATCCTCCGCGACCCCTACTCTATCTTCCACTACTATCCCACCGGCAAACGATGGCCAGAATCCATCCGCGAATTGATCCAATCTCGTCAAATATGCAGTCCTCCCTCCTCTGCCAACAATGATGCCATACCAGCAGCAATACCAGCAGACAGCACCTCCCAACCAACCAGCTCCTTCTTTCAACGTCTGCCCCCCGAAATCCGCCTCATGATCTACGCCTACGTCTTCAACGACTCCCCCAACACCACTCCCACCCCCAATGACTCTATAACAAACACAACCATCCACCTCGTCCAAATCCGCAACAAAATTCACCACGTCCGCTGCACGCACCCCTCCCCGCTGGACAAACACCGCCAATGCTGTCCCCAGACCATGGCTAGATGGCGCACCTCGCCTACCACCACTACCACCACGATCCCCAAGCCCATCACCACCACCACCATCACCAAAGGAGGAGCAGTCACATCTCCAGCAAAAGCCACCGACACAAACAGCTCCCTCTACCCACACACTCACCCCTCCCTATCCCCTACCCTCTCGAAAAATACCACTTCCCCACTCCTCACCTGCCGAGCCATGTACCTCGAGTCCGCACCCCTGCTCTACTCCCTCACCACCATCGACACGGACGACCTGTACACTTTCCTCTCGTTCATTAATACCATATCCCCCCACCTGCGGAAATATATCAGGTCCCTCACGGTGCAGTATACACCCATCTGGCAGCCCATGGCGGGCCAGGAGTATCCCTTCTCCGTGTATACGCATACGCATAATGATATGCTGTGGGGTGGGTTCTGGGATGCCGTGGCGAGGAAGTGTCCCGGGTTGGAGAGGGTCCGGTTGGGGTTGGATTTGGGGACTGTGTTTGCTGTTAATAATAACATTGGAGGTGGAGGTGGGATGTCGGTGACGGGTGGGAATATGGTCAGTTTTGGGACGGAGGAGGAGTGGGTGAGGCCGTTGTTACGTGTCAGGGGGTTGAAGAGTTTCGAGTTGGGGGTGATGGTGAGGTGTGATCGGTTGGCGAGACGCGTATTGGAGAATGGGTTGGTTAGGGATGTGCAGGTTCTCAGGGAGAGGTTGATGGAGGTGATGTGTGGGGAGAGGAATAGACATGTGAACGATGAGGAGGATGGGGTGAGTGAACGGAGGAGGGGGAGGTTGGCTATTATGGCTGCTTGATGAAGGAAAGAAAGTGATCCTTTAAGCGTTTTGTTGCATGATAGATACCCTTGTTTTGTTGTTTGTGCGCAGTGATACACGATAGAAGTCAGTACTCACTATATAAACTGCATACTGCTACTACACTTCTCGTATCCATGAATGAATTAGCCCTCTATCAATCAATCTAGCTGTACATTACCATCCATCCATCCATCCATCCACCATCCATCTTATGCCCCGAAGAAAAGAAAAAGAATATGCAATTTACCAAAAATACCCAATCAACCAACAACCCATTAAACATACCTATCCAGACATCATTACTCATTAACTCGGTCAGAAAGGAAAAAGAAATATAAAATAAAACATCTATTCCTTTTCTTTTTTTCCAACGCTACCGTGAGCTAATGAAAATAAAGTCCTCGCTTAACTTACATCGATCGTTGCAACAAGTCAGAAACACAGACCTCTTCATCAGTCTGGGGTCTGATGAAAAATCGTAAATGATTAATCAATCAAGCGTGATGCTGCTCATGCTCCTGCTGCTGGAGCTGTTGCTGCAATGCCTCCGTGCTGCGTTCCACCTCCGAATCGTGCTCTTCCTCGCTGGTGGGTGATGGTGCTCGGCTGCCCACGAGAGAACGGCGACTGCGCATCTACATTGGAGTTAGAATTAATTCAATCCCACGGAATACAAGAATCGAGAGCACCTACCCATGCGCGAACACCCCCAATCAATCCCAAACTGTAGCCCGTTGCAAAGTCCGGCTCGTTCCGACCATTGCCGATTGTGCTCTCCGGACGTCCCAGCGCCTCCACCCGAGAAACGTGCGCCTTGCTACCCAGCACAGGACTGGTGACACCGCTGCGCGAGCCGCCCAGATCCACGCTGTTGCGCGCGCTCGATAGCGGGCTGTTGGGCCGGCTGTTTTGCCAGAACTGGCGCAGCTCCCGACCCAATTCTTGGCCTGTCGTAGTCCAGTTAGACCGGATGCTGTCCCGGAGCTCATTCACGTGGCGCTTAATCTCCAGCTCATTCTTCTTCAGCCATGACACATTCAGTTCCTGTCGTGAAGCACCGCGCTTGAACTGTCGAGAAATGTACTGATCGTAATCGCGAACAATTCTGTAACTGCATGAGCCCCAATCTTAACACATCGCTTTAAGCAGGATAACTCACCTGGTGATAATGCCCGTTGTGCTCACACCCTCTGTCCGCTGTGTAGCCAAGAACTTTCCTTGAGCCTTGATCGGCGCATAGATGTCATCTCCCTCGTCTGCACCATATGGCAAATCGTCATGCGCAACGTAGTCAATCTGGTGGGCATCGATGAATTCCGGCGTCACAATCCAGGGGCAATTGGGAATCACTTCATCCACCCATCTGCAATGGCGGATACTCTCTGCACGCTCCGCACCGCTCAAGACTGTCAGTCCTTTGCGCTTATGTGTTTCCTCGTCTCCGGTAACTCCGACAATCAAATGCACGTCAGGGAACGCCTTCTTCGCCTGTTCCAGTTGCCGCATGTGTCTGCACACCTCATGATTAGCACTCTGTCCATATAAGCCGCATGGCCGATACATACCCCACATGGAACAGATCAAACACGCCGTCCGCATATACGCGCACCGGCCGTCCCGTTGGCGGAGGGTTGGTGTGATAACCGACGGGATCCTTAAGTCCAGCACGCTCGGGGGGGCTCATCAACGGCTCCGATGTGTCTACCTGCAAGCCCGGCCGGCTCTTGCTCCGACTCTCAATGTCACTGCTGGCCACGGTGGTCTCGGATGGCTCGCCCGGATCCTCCTTGCTAAGGGCCGATGGTGCGTCGGGGAGGTCGCCATTGGAAATTGGAACGTGACCTTCACTGGTGGACGCCTTGCGGGCCCGCTTGGTCGGCGGAACGGTGCCGGCAGAGGTGACATCGAGAGACGATTGCTTCTTGTGCTTGCTGGGCAAGGGAATGGCGGAGCCTGTGGACTCGTCGCCTTCCTCACCGGACGCGTCGCGAGAGGAGGGTTGCAAAAGTTCTGCAGGGGATGGAATGGCGGCATTGGCGGAAAGATGTTGGGAACCGCTGCGCTTGCGTTTACTCGAAGATTGGGGGGAGGACATGATGGCCGACCGAGGGAGCACAGCTCGACTTCTGTCAATAAAAAAAAAATTACACGGAAAAGAAGAAGCTGAGGAGGAGGAGCGAAAGGGAAGAGGATAAGAAATTAATCCACTAGGCGACAGGTGAGACAAGAGGACAGAAAAGCAGGACGGAGAGGATGTGGAGGAGGGAAGAGGAGCACGGGAGGGCCCGGGGATGGGATCCAAAACACAAGAGGAGAAGGATGGATTCCCTCAACAAACCATGGGGGGAATGGCGGAGGGGAAAAGGAAGAGGAAAAGGAAGAGAGAGAGCGAGAGCGAGAGAGAGAGAGAGAGTAAGAAGAGGAAGAAGAAACTAGAGCAGGACCCTTGACAGACGGGCGATGGAGCAAGCAAGACAAGGGGAAAGAAACCGACCGAAAGTATCGCGGATCCGAAACTAGAGCGCAGACTAAAAAAGGCAAGAATCCCAAAATCTTCCCGACCGGGAATATTGATTCATGTATTGTACCTTACTCAAACTCGACTGATCTCGTCCGATATACTGACCGCTTACCAGTTACTGGGTCGCTAGTGACCGCGAGCAATTGCTAAATACTGCTAGATACTGCTAAAATACTGGCATTGCCCACAGTGGGGCAAGCAAGCAAGACAAGACCGTCACGTATGGTCCTGCCCCAACAATCATCCTCCATCACGGGACTGCGGCGGGCCCTCCCATTCGCTCGGCTCATCCAAAGTACCATACGGTGTACCTCAATCAGGCCTTTTTTGCGAAGTAGCTAGCTGCTCGATACTCCTGTTACTACTACTGACTCCTCTCTACTACTACACGCATCCCCACATCTCTTGTCGCAATTGACTTCCGGACGGTGTCAACACTCTTGCACAGCCAAGTTTCTATATGCATACGATATAATTTAAGAAACGAAAAAGAGGAAAAGAAAAAGATTCAACATACACGGCTCGCTTCCATCCCGGTTCCAGAAACTCCGCTGCTGAAGCAAGCATTCGACGAGTTTGCCTTACCCGACCCCGGACTTATAAAAACTGTACGTCATGCCATCGTGGAATACCTCTCCCCCCGGGACGCCATATATGGTGTGCAACTCCGCTATTTTCCTCCCCTCCCTGACCTGATCGAACTGGTTACAACATACCAATGTCGCGCTCAAGCCGGGACATCGCAAGGGCTGTCCCACCGGTAAATTCCAGGTTGCAGCTGAGGTGGACACGGCATCACATCGTCAAGGAGCAGGGAAGACACAAAGACAATAAGAAAAAGAAACGAAAAAATGGGACAATCATGGAAAATATCATGGTTCATCAACAGTGGGCGTTTTGTGCGGTATCTTGTTCATGGCATGAAACAGACGTACTCTCGTGAGGCCGGCCGCTCGCGGCTCTGCAATAAAACTGGTAAACATAAACGAAACCCTCCGACCCGATTCCCATGCATCCACCCCGCAACCAATGCCGAAACGTTGAGTGACTTTGGACTTCCTTCTCGATAAAGGTCACCTCGCGATTGGGTTCCACTGCCTCTGAAACCACTAGGCCATTTCAAAAAGGGAGTAAGGCTGGAGTATAATAGATAGAAGGGGGGGAAAGTTCGACGTGAGGAAGCCTGGCGCTTCCGAAGGGGCAAGGCAGAAAGAAGTCCACGTAAATGTAAGGAAATAGGTAAAAACGGGCACAGTCGTAGAATCACACACAGGTGGTTTTCAAAGAACCAAAATAAGGAAAAAAGGGCAAAAGGTAACAAGCGCGGCAAGGGGAAAAAAAGGAGGAAAAAAAAAGAAAAGACACATTAAGGAGAAATGCAAGAGATCCATCATGACTACGAACTCGTAGGCTTTTGCGGCGTTCCAGGGCCACTGCCGGACGAACCCTCCGCGGTGGTAGACGGCGACTCCGATATCTCAGCGGCGTCCGTTCGGGAAGTATCCTTAGACTGAGGCCCAGGAGTTCCCTCTCGTTCATTCCGAGCCGCATCAGGCGAATCACGGTGCACCTGATTGACAAGGTCCTGGTCTTCCTCAGCCTGATCAAAGAGTTCGTCATCGTTCTGCTCCGGAATCAATTCAGTGCCGTCCCCCAAGAGGATGATGCGGCCCGAGCGGACGCTGAAGCCACGCGCACGGTCGTTTTCCATGTCAAAGTCATCCGGGTTCTCCTCGAATTGATTCCGGATACCGGGGCCGCGGAACTCAGCTGCACCCCCCGTTCAGTCAGTAGGGATTGGAATTGGAGGCCGTGGGATCCTCGAGAGACTTGCCGTACTCGGGCGGAGCGCAAGGGCCGTCGCCGTTCGCCACGCGCTCAGCGATCTGGTTGTACCACTCCTCTTTGGTCCTACCGTTCAGGAGACCGATGATGACCATTGTCATGTTGTCGCAGCCAACGCCGCCGGTTTCACTGTTGGAGGCCAGGCAGTTGTCCATCATGTTCTCACAGATCCGATACAGATCCTGCTTCGCGGCAATCCCACGGCGGACGAATTCCACCACTGATTGGGAGGACTGACAATCCCAGATACCTGCAATTTCGAAAAGTTAGCGATCTTCAAGACCCTCACCCCCTCATCACCAGAGTAAGACCCACCGTCACAGGCAATTACGAGGAACTCGTCATCGTCACTGAGATCGTGCACAGTGACGTCGGGATAGGCAGTGACGATCTGCTGCTCAGGAGACAACTCGGGGCTCTTCTTGAACTCGAAGTCACCAATGGCCCGCGACAAGGCCAGGTTGCCGTTGACACGGCCAAAGTCAACGAAACCACCAGCAGCGCTGATACGGGCTTTCTCGCCTGTTTTTATTTGGTCATGTCAGCATCATCAAAACTGGTCGGTAATCGAGATGCGGGGTATGTGTACCTTCGTTCTGAGGCTTGTGGTCAAATGACAGAGGCTTTGCGCGACCCTTGACACCCAGTACAGAGCGAGAATCACCAGCATTGGCCTAGAACCAGTCAACGAATGAACCAAACCCAACGTCGTCTCCAAATCGGCCATGGCTAGAATACATACCACCCAGATCTTGTGCTTCGAGATAACGCTGACGGCTGCGGTGCAGCCAGACACTTCCTCCTCATATTTCGGGTCTAGCTGGGTCAGTTCGTTGCTACCTCGGAGGGACAGGAAACAGGAAGGAAAGGGAGAGGCGGGTGGGAAGGTTGCCCCAACTCCGATCATAGCGCTCACGAACCTTCCAAAATAGCCCGGTCGGTAGCGAGGAAGCCATCCTT